TTGTTTATCAAAATATATAAACTGTTGAAAATGAGAAGTCAATTAATTGACGATTCAGCGTTTCTCCAAATTAAATAAGTAGTTTATTTTTAAAAAAATTTTCTAGATTCTTATTAAATGCTTCTTATTATCAAGAATATTTTGATATATTATGGTTTTTTTTATATATTAATTAGTTTGACCGATTATAATGAATAAACGGATATTGCAAAAAGGAATATTATAAGAAAATTGGAACAATTTATTATAGCTTGTGTTTTATAATCTACTCATCTACTCATGTACTACCATTATCTTTTGACGCGCCTATCATTTTATATATTTATTTAATATACAATATTTAAAAATATGTATATAGTATCGGAGAGAAAGCAAAAGTCAAACCACTTTGATATTATCAAAAAATTGAAAAATTTGTTGATATAATTCTTAACGCGTTCGTTACGTCGCAATGCTGCGGCTCCAACGGCGAAATACAAGGTGGTCAATTAATCGTCTTTTTTTTTATCACGCATTTCAATAACACACATGCCCGGCATCGTGTCGCCATAAGTGCTCTCTCGACGCGCTATCCGAGATTGCACGGTATTGCTCGCAATTTGCTATACCCGGTTTCCACATTCCACTGACGTCATTTGTGGCGCGTCTTTCTCGCGAGGACAGTCGCGAGAGGAGACGCATCTTGACGTTTGCTCGCAACCGTTCGAATCGTTCGCATTAATGTTCGCGCCGGAGTCAACTCTTGCTCTTCGAAGGGGAAGCGCAAAAGTGCTTACTTTCCATAAAGCATTTATTTGATAGATATTGGATAGTTTTCACATTATCTTTCAAAGTGAGGTAGCATCTACAGTTTGGATGCGAAGTTGTAAGCTCTTTTTTAATTCATCTGAAATTTTCACTTAAAATGTAGGATAATGTTTTTTTATGTCTCACTATTTCTTACCACTAACCAAATTTTTATCTCAAGTATATCTTATCATTTTCTATACATACTAATTTGATTCGGCATTTATTAAAATATATTATCGGGGAAAATCCCCTTTCTATAGCAAAGGACATTTTTTTGCCATTTTCGTAAGAAGAGTACATGGATGAATTGTGAAACGTCATTTCGGAATGCTCGATATAGCGTTTCGTCACGGTGGGCGCGCAGTAAAAAGCGCGTGAGCGACGTGGCTTCATGGATCGTGTACATAGGAAGGCAAGAAAGGTCACGGCTCTGACCCGTTTCAACGTCTTATCGGCTTCACGGCGAGCAAAGTTCGTCTTCGTGGAAGACGCGAGTCGAGCAAACGCGATTCGAAGAGATAGAGCCAACTTCCCGTTTGCCTCGTAGCGGTGGCATGTTTTCGTGCCTTCTTAAAATTCCAACTTTGTCGTCAAATAGAAATATTATATCGTCGTATTTTATAAATCTAATTATCACTTTTTGTAAATTTGAAGCAAATATGATTCGTGATAATAATTCAGTGATCGTGCCAATTGTATTATATACTGTACACATACACTTTAATGCACGCGGGAAATAGGAAATATTGTACTACCTTGACATGTACAATATTTCTTATATTACAGAGCTCGCGTTGCCTTACTCCAAGACGTTCTGTCTCGTAAAGTTACCTCGTAGCCGTATATTAATTACGGTGATACGCAAACTTGCGCGCATTGACTTACGGCCAGCGTTTTCGCAGCAGCCGCCGGCGTATACGTACCTACGCGAGATTAATATGCGATGCTCGGTATGAGATTCGCATCGTACACGATCGCGAGCATAGCTACGAGAAATTCTGCGCATTTCCAGACGTTTCTATAGAGCTCGCGCGCTCAACCACTCCCTCTCTGTCTTGCCCAAATATACCTGACCGTCATGTTTTTACTGGGGAGGAATGTAATAAAAGGTAAATAGATACAAATATATTTTTACACAAATTTATTTTATTTCTTTTACAATTAGAAAGAATTCAATAATATTAGATCTCAACGCATAATTAATTTTTTAAGATACTCGACATAAAGTGGAACAATTATGATAACCAGTGATAAAAAAACTAATTAACAATTTTGAGTTATTCGCTTAGTAAAGAACGTAGTAAAGAACACGTACGAAGTGATACGCGATCGGCACATTTTACTTAAATTTAAATCTAAAATCGAAAATCCAACACTTTTTTAAATATAAAAAATTTATTTTTTAACCATTTTTAGTTGGAACTTTATTTAAATGCGCCAGGTCTTAAGATGTTAAGAAAGAATGAAAATTTTACTTTTTCAATTTTTAAATATTAATTATATAAAAAATCCGTCTCGTTTGCGCAATATTACGAAAGAAATATTAATTCTTTGCGAAGTATATTCAAGTTAGACACGACTGCTAATTGTGAGTTGTAAGCACACACGATTGATTAGCGCGATCGGCATTGACATTAGATTAGCGAGTAATATGCGATTATTTATGGGAAATCGTACGTTGGAATACTTAAATCCGGTCTTGTTAACAATAGGCGCACCCGAAAAGTCATTCAGACCCCAACAGCACACTGCCATGTGCCACTTTTTCTCCTGTTCCATACACGCCGCTCTCTGTACGAGCGCACCCCGCTCCGCTTTTCTGCCTGCTCCTATATCTCTACATAGAAGATGTACATAGTATTGATAATACATACTACATTGAACAATGTTGCTCATCCGATACGCTGCCCCTCCGTTGTCGTCTTCTTCTCATCCTACGTGTATGATGCATATGCCATACAATAGCAGTATAAAAGCAACGATCTGGCGCAAACGGGTGGCTGCGGGTAGCGAGAGATTCCCATTGACGTCGATTGTATTTATCCGATCATTGATTCAATATGCGTGATTTCAATGACCTGCTGTATTAAACTCGAAAAAAAATGTCAGGGATTCGAAACCGGCGTTAATTTGAAAATAAGTACAACTTTCTGCGTTGTAGATAGGAGGAGAGTCCGATTCACATAGGTATGTTGGCATTAAAGGCATTAATTCGCAGTCTTTACGGCTATAATAAAGAATGGTATTTTTTGTATACGATATTTCACAGTGCTTATCATTTTAATCATCAATAATATCAATATTTATTTACAAAGTTTGCAATATAGAGCTCATTTATAGAGAATTTATAAAATGCCCTTAAATTTTCAAAGTGTCTATCTTTAATTTCGAGACATACGTACCTATCTACATCTTCGTTTGTATCGAAAAATTCACATTCCTCCGACTTAATCCTTTTTTTCTTAGTCGTTAATTTCCGATGCATCAACATTGTCCGATCAACGCGGTGGGCGTCGGTGAATGTGTACGGATGCACTTAATAGCGGCGCCGTGAAACATTTGGCAGTGCTCATCGGTATTTCTTTCTCTCGCATTCTGGCGTTACGCCCCGTCTACGTGGTTCGATTGTGTCTATCGCGCACGCGTCTTTTTTTAGCGGATATATAAGTATACGCGTTTCGCATTATCCCCATATACAAACGATACACGTGTGTCACGCCGGGGATTATATGACTGACGCGCAGCGACCGATCATGCATATTGGTAATTGGCGAAGGTAGTCGTGATTAGCTCTGCGCATCGCACATGTAAACCGATACTCGCTGCCAGATACGCGTTGCTGATTGATCGCAGCCAATTTTGCACGTGCAGTCTGACTAAGAAATCTCATATAGTCGACTTGGTCATCTCGCCTCGAGCACCTAGCTTTCCATAGTAGCTAAGGCATCAATATTTTTTTTTTATGTTGAAGAAATATGCAATTTAGGTATGATTTGCATCTTTTACATCTATTTAATTCGAAATTATTAATATATTAACATCAGATATTGCAATTTTTAATATTCATACAGTTTGTACCATTCAGTACGTATTCAAAGAAAGTAGTTTGTTGTTAAAATCAGTTAGAAAGATACCAGACAGAATTGTTATAACATGCGTTAGTGCATACACATATATTTGGTTACGTCGCTATACATTTCGTTTTTTAATAAAAATGTAGTGAGTAATTGAGTACGTAATCGTGCGACCTTGTGTTTACGAGACATTACGCATACTTAAGAATATTGAATTAAACATTTAATGTTTTATTAGATGTAAATGCGAATTTATCGTTGGGATTACAAGATATGTTAAAGATTGATTGTGTGTGTGTGTGTGTACAAAGGGATATGGAGTCAAAATCGTCAAAAGCGAGAAGTGTTAGTTGTATGCTGCACACCTGTCCTTTACAATCCGCCCATTATTAAATTTTTATCGTTATTTGAAGCTTTACTTGCTTTGATTTTGTTGCGTTCAATTTCTGAAGTAATAAATATAAAAAAAAGCATTTTACATCAGTTACATTTCAACGTTATTGTGTTTCGATAAAGACAAGAGATTATTTTTTTTGTCTCTTGCCATTAATTTAACATAATGATATCCGTTCTAATCTCTGATGAAAATTGAATGGAATACAAATGAAATAAAATGACTTTGATCTAAGAGATTAAAATTAGTGAAATTCTAGTAAACTTAATTTTTCTTGTGATATGAACAAAAACACATTTTACATAAACTGTTTTGTGTTTTTATTGCGCGAATATAGAGATCATATTCTATGTTTACTCGTGCAGCATCCTATTCTTTTATAACATTAATGTCTGAATTTGACAAAATTATGTCAGTTTTTTTTGCCATTCATCTTTGGTTGCCATTGCGAAATTTGCTTATCACATACGCTTTCTTTCATACTCGGCAAGCACACTTGGCGATTAAAGAGTTCGATATATAACAGTAGTATAACTTGCTCTTTAGCTCCTGAAAAATTGAATTGGATCACCGTAAAGCTTTATAATATCCGAAAAAGATAAAAATCAATTGAAAGAATAAAATATGTCGCATATTGATGATATCGATTTTAATTATGACGTATGATTCGATCTGTGTATTTCACGCGATGGCGCGTTGCCGAGGTAAAATATAATATAAAAGTTGTGCCACGTGTGTTACAGGCGAGGACGACGCAGGTGTTGTAGATACAGCGGTGGGCGGAGGTTGCGCGGGTGAAGCGCCAACCACAGGAGGTGGTGGTATTGCCAGCGATGGAGGTGGTGGCAGCGGAGGAACGCGCAGTGGCGGTGGCGGCGACAGCGAGGGCGGATCTGCGAAGCAGCAGCAGCAGCAGCAGCAGGGTGGCGAAAGGTGCCCTCAGTGTGGTATCCTCTGTCGGGACGTTCGCATCCTGCAACTACATCTCGAGGACACGCACAAAACTTCCTATACCATCGACAAGCACGATCTCAACGCCCAGTTCTCCCAAGTGGTGAGTGATCGCGATGACCCGTCAAGGACACACACGTTGCTCGAGGGATTAGTTGTTCGCGTTCCGCGTTCAGACTTATCGATCACACCCCCAAAAGCGGCAACCAGTTTTCCACCGAAGCGTCGCCTGTCTCTTTTCGCACGCAATTTTCGCGAACGAGAAAATAGGAACGTGTCTCGCAGAGTGGTTATGAAATTATGAATTTTCTCCAGGATTACAGGTTCTCTTTTTCTTTTTTTCTTCTTCTTTCTTTGATAGGTTTCTTGGAATAGACGCGACTAGTAATGTGTAAGGACAAGAATGGCAACGATCAAAATGATATTTAAACTATAATTTGTAGAATAAGAATAAATAAATAAATGTCTACAGATAAGAACAATTATGCAATTTATGGTGTGTGATACCAACAAATCCAAAAATCGTGATGTTTTCAAGAAAGTCAATATTTTGATGTTAAATTTCTTCTCTACTTTGTATTTTTCTTTTTTTTTCTTTTCTTTTCTAATTAATTAATTAATATTTAATATGTAATCTTATGGAGCAATGTAAATTTTTGTAATATTTTTTAGTAATATAATAAAACGTTGTGTTTTGAATCGCCTGAGCCGTACACATTTCGAGTCTCAGCCACACCGATCGACAATCTCGAGCTGTTATCTCGAGGTTCCCAAAATTACTTACTTAGAACTGTAAACTTTTAATTTTTAAAATAAAATTATATTCAAAGGCCAACATAAAATCAAAATCAAAGGAATAAATGAAAAGCAAACGGCCAAAGCCAGGTGTTCGTGCATGCGTATTATAAAAACGATTTCAATAACATTGACGTTTCGACCTGAATTCTGTCTTCTTCAGAATTCCGCTTACAATTTAATACATAGATTAAAATTTAATACGCTTTCGGACTAACTTAACAATTTTCATTTATCATCGCTTATGCAATTATCAATATATAAGCGATGATAAATGAAAATTGTTAAATTAGTCCGAAAGCGTTTTAAATTTTAATCTATGTATTAAATTGTAAGCGGAATTCTGAAGAAGACAGAATTCAGGTCGAAACGTCAATGTTATTGAAATCGTTTTTATAATACGCATGCACGAACACCTACACTCAAAAAAATGATCTTGCAATAATAGCTAAAATTTTCTAGGTGTAAAAAATTAACTAAAACAGATAAATGATTAGCAACTGTTGTTATATTGCATATGTAATTACTTAATCAGTTTAGATGACAGAAACAGAATATATATCTGTATTGTTTGTGAACTTTAAAAAGAAAGTTTCTCTAAAGCGCCTATCTGTATAAGATCAATCACGTGTTAGATCATGCAATGAATAACATTTAGCAATGGTACCTAAATTTTTCAGAAGCTATTGCTAGAACATTACTGCTATAAATTCTATATGTGACAAACAATGTTTTCACAGATACGAAAAATAGCGATACATTCTTGTTGCGATATCTAGAAATCTAACTACATCAGCGAAATATTTTTTTGAGTGTAGCTTTGGCAGTTTGCTTTCCACTTATTCTTTTGATTTTGCTTTTAATTTTCATTGAAATTTATTTCTTTGAAGATAGATCCAGAAAATAGTTACGTGTGACTGTGTGTTGATTAATAAGACATTTAATCGTTATAAGATTAAACTAATTGTAAACTAATTTTCTCAGTCCTGCAAGGTGTGCAGCAAAACCTTTGCCAACGTGTATCGGCTACAAAGGCACATGATTAGCCATGATGAAAGTGCCGTTTTACGAAAATTTAAATGTCCCCACTGCGAGAAAGCCTTCAAGTTCAAGCATCATCTTAAGGTACTTTATTACTGTGATTACATGTTACAATACATAATATATTATGTATTCTGATAAATATCAACTACAAGTGTATATTTTAATAATCTTTGCTTTTAACTTAAATACAACGTTTCTTGTAGGAACACCTGCGCATTCACAGCGGTGAAAAGCCATTCCAATGCAACAACTGCGGCAAGCGTTTTTCTCATTCTGGATCATACTCGAGTCATATGACGGCGAAGAAATGCTTGATAATGAATCTGAAGAAATCGAGGCAGAACACCATAAGCAATGTCGATCGGGGATCGAAGAAGGTTCATCAGCCTTTATCGGGACGACGTGACGTTGATCTGTTGACAGCCAACAATAACACGTTCCTGCCAATTCTACCGAAGCTATCATCTACGGATTATCAGGAGATACAAAGGGAGGGAGCAGGTAATTTTGCTAGATCAATATTTCCGTTTAGTTTCTTACATATTTTCTCTGTATTTTTCATACATTTATTACATTTATGCATGGATCTTGTCAAATCCATAAGTGAAAGAACTGACGCAAAGTTTCGATATAACTTACTCATAACTAAATTTTAATTCCCAAGTGATTCAAATATGAAAAATAAAGAGTTTCTATTAATCTTGAGGTGAACAATTCATAATAAAATAGCATTTTTAAATTAATTTTAAGCGGATTTTACTTTCACAGAATTGTAATGAAAATCTCAATTATAGAAATGCAGAAATGTCAAGTGCATAAAGCTGGAATAAATTAAATCTACAGCTTGCAAGTTCTATTTTATGATATGATCTCATATTTGAAGTGCACGGTGCAAATTATGGGCTTGATTCATTTTATTGTTAGTTTGGAACGCCTCATTTAATATTGAGAATTGGATAATTGCGGCAAATGATAACATTTCTCGATATTTTTTAAGTCAAAAACAGACATACCTATCAACTCATGAACAAACGTTAGATAAAGCAAGTCACTTTGTTTTTAAGTCTGATTTGATTAATATTTAGGTGTTTATGACGTGCCGACTCTGCTGCCTCAAATGATGGGGTTTGGAAATTACTTCCTGCAGTCTTCGTTAGGCAAACTATTGAATCAATTGCATTCGAAACGACTCGATGAGATCAGTTCGGAACAGTTCGAGACGCACCGAGAAGTAATGAGTCCATCGACGGCGGACTCTGAGGGAACGGAGGGTACGGAGGGCAAGGAATCTCCCGCTCCAGCAGATTCGATGCAGGGTCTTGATTTTGTCCGGCGAATTCTAGAAACTGTAAATACCTCGGTGACAAAACAGCTACTTGAGGCAAACATGCGGAAGCTCTCCACGTCTCCGGCTACGATGAAGCGAGAATTCGAAGAGGATTATCAGGTATAGAACAAAATTTAACTAGTATTTTTCTTTTACTTAAAATTGAAATTTATCTATGGATTTATAATTTTTTAAATAAGCATATGTGACTGTTTTCTATTGTTGTTTCATCACTTGTGTGGACATATTATAATGTTACTTGTTTTTCCGAGATTTATCAAAGATATTCATCTCGAAATTTTACTATAAGATTCATTCTGTTCAAAGTGCTACGGTAAGATCGCACTTTCGTAAGATACGCACTTTTTCTCAAACGAAATCGGCCTAAATGTTGCATTCTTCGTAGGATCAAGATAGCGAGATGTCCAGTGAGATGACACAATGTCCGGACTGGGCCGTGACGGACCAATATGACTCGCAGAGTGAAGGCTTAGCCGCGAAGCTCGAAAATGCTAATCAACCGACATCGAGATCGGCTAGGAAAAGAAAACGGGAAGATAGCTCTGAGGCGGATTCGGAGGATGAAGATGATGGTTATCAAACTCATAATGACAGCGGTAGAAGAGTTAGAGCTAGATCGCTCATAGATGATGAACAATTAGCCGTTTTGAAAGGTTATTACAACATCAATCCTCGACCGAAGAAGGAGGAGATCACCATGATCGCCAATTACATCAATTTTCCTACTCGTGTGGTACAGGTACGCAAACTAATGATGGATAATGATTAATTAAATTACATTCAAGCTAATTATAATAATGCCTAGTTGATATTTTGTATTTCGTTTTCGTATTCCGTCAACAATAACTATATTTTGATCACAATCATGCATTTCCAGGTTTGGTTTCAAAATTCTCGTGCCAGGGATCGAAGAGAGTCAAAGATACCTCACCAGTTACCAGCTCTGGTACCTTTAGCACCACTTTCAGCGAATAATTCTGTTGCGGAGCAGCCTTTGGATTTGTCTAAAAAGGAAGCGCTTGCTATGTCGATAACCAAAGAAAGCGACACATCGAGTAGAAATATATCATCTCCTTGCGAGCAGAAAGACGATAATTCAATCCCGAATGTTGATAACGATGACCTCGAAGATTCGCCTCTTGTTATAGATGAAGAAACTGCTACTGATCCCGTTGAAGCAAAGCGTACACCTCCTAGGGAGATTACAAAGGTAAATGAAGTGTAAAATCAATTGATGCGAAATTTTGCAAGTAAATGTTTAATTTCTCTGTTATTTATTAGAGCCAAAATCAAGTAAGCACTAAAAGTGAAAATGAAACTACACCTCAACCGGAAGCAACTCCTATAGCAACGGAAACCGAGCAGGGTCTTTATTTCTGTGATCAGTGTGACAAAACATTTTCCAAACACAGTTCCCTCGCGAGACACAAGTATGAACATTCCGGTAAGTATAATTTGATGGTTTCGTATAGTAAAAACTCTATTATCCAGTTGAGAAATTTTTCTTTAAACAGAAGACGAATGAAGATATTTTTCTCACTTTTACAATTTTTCAACATTTGACTTAAATATCTCGATTAGTCTCGATTTAGTCAGAGAATTGAAGATTTTATTTAAAGTATATCTAAAATATATAATGTAGAATAAGATTTAATTGGCAATTAGTTTAGTGACTTTTATGAAAACCTTATAAAATTATTGATACCGTCTGTAAATTCTGTTTTCTATATTTCTACATTGATTCTGAATGAGTTACTTAAAGAATCTCACTACGACTAGTTGAATGTTTTGTCTAGTGCCACCGCGCGTTTACAAATTGGTTACGGGCAAATGGATAGTAGATAAAATAAAAATTAATAAATGTTAGGGCAAAGGCCGTACAAATGCGTGGAGTGTCCAAGAGCGTTCAAGCACAAGCATCACCTGACCGAACACAAGCGGTTGCACAGCGGCGAAAAGCCCTTCCAGTGCTCCAAGTGCCTCAAGCGCTTCTCTCACTCCGGCTCCTACAGTCAACACATGAATCATCGTTACTCTTACTGCAAGCCCTACAGAGAATAAGAGTACTTGGCTTGCTCATCTGAGGCTTGCTCGCTTATCTAGGTATAATATACGCAGTCCTTTTTCCTTATGTTTAGAATTTCTCTCTTTTACGTGTAAGTTTGTTCTTTGAAAATCCCGCCTCACGAAGAAACGCTAGAACGCCTTTATATATTTATCTCGCGGCATAAACTTTAAAGGAAGCCGCAATGTTTCGCGAAGCTATATGTGTAATATATATACATAAGATGCTGTGACATCACATTACAAAGCCGTGGGGAGGAGGGGGGGGGGTTATTGGTTCGTACTTGGAGAGAGAAAAACGAGAAACGCGAAAGCGGTTTAGACGATTCGAGGGAGCGAGAAAATTCAATGGAAATGTATGTTGTAAAACTTACATTGTGCGGTAGAAAGCAATCGTGTGTCTCCTCATTTTGTCTAAACCGGTTTTAGATTTTACTAATCTTATTCTATGGCGTGAAAAAAAGGGAACGAAACGATACCAGTGAATGCAACCGAAACGAATAACTATTTGTGGCAAGTGCAAGTCGACAAATAAACCAAACGTATGTAACGGTACCAAAAAAGCATAATGCAATAATCTATATATAATATAATATACATAATATTTTAGTATTTTTATTAAGAAAATATTATATATACCATGACAATAATAAGAAAACTAATTAATGTACAAATTTGTTAGCCACGTCCGCATGAGAAGCGCGATGTCCATTCGGAAAAATAATAATAATAATAATATACGAACTACTTGGAACGATCGAAACGTTTGACGATAGAAAAAGAAAACGTTTACTCTTACAATGATTAATTTCCGCGAAGCGACATGTATTTCGACGAGTAATTTCTAAATCTCAGGTTCAACGGCAACTCGCGTATAAGAATGGAGATCGCGTGTAAAATGCTCGTTCTACACGAGTAAAGATAAATATTGGGTTTACTAAATCAAATGTGTCTGGAATACAGCTGTTGATTGAGCTTAACATTAAAAAAACTTGGTCGATCATAAAGATGGAGATTAGAATCTCATGTTCCGCCTCCTTATAACGAATAACTTGACTCGACGAAGAAAAGGCTATATTATTATTATTACATTATTATTATTACATATTATATATGTATAGAAAGAGAGAAGAAGGAGAGGGGGAGA